GGTTATTGATATGTCTGGGTTTTGTTTAATGTCAGCCATTCAGAATTGACCAGACTTGAAATCAAAGTAATGCATATTTACGATATTTTTATTACAAGGTTGTAATAGCAGAATCTTGCAAGTCTGAAAAGGTGTCTCCTCTCCCTCTCTTTATCTTTGGGAACTACTCAAAATTTCCATTACTGGTTCTCCAGAACTGGTCAGAACCTGCTGAATACCACCTCTGATCTGGATGGCACATAGTTGTTGAAAACTGAATTGTAGTACTTTGTACCTGATCTAGTTCCAGTTAGTCTATTTTCCCCCCACTGTATCTATGAATGAGAGAACAATATTATCTTCATCCTTTTTTTAGTCCCGAAAATTAGGACCGGGCACCTACGTGATCGATGAGGGAAGCTTCAGCTCCACTGCCTTAAAGAAGAGAGCATCAAGCTCTAGCTGGGCCAAGGCTCAGGAAGCAGCTAGACTCACCGAAATGCCACATTTTCAATTTAAAGAAATATGCCAGCAGGAGAAAGCTCGGGTGAGTGGATCTATTTAGGTCCACAGCACTGAGTGCTGATAATAGACTTTTCCAAGCATTCATTGAATCAATAAGATCTCAAAATGAGCAAGATAACAAAGCTGTTTGTTGTGGCTCCAGTATGTAAATTCCTCATATATGCTTCATTTTCAGGCCCCAGTTCATTGATATTAAGGCTACCGGGTCTGTCTGCAAATGTATGATTGACCACTAGATGCTGAAAATGATTCTTGAAAATTAATTTCTTTATTATCAGGGAGTTAAAATTATCAGAGACCTGGTAGACTTGTAATATAGTATGGGCTTTCATACATTTCCTTGAACATAAGTAGAAATATCTTTGGAACTGTAGAGCCTGTTTAATCAGATAAGTGAACCATGAAGGGGACTATCCATTTTAATAGAATTTAATCCCAAGGGTTTTTTTTTTAATTACAGCAAGTCTTCCCCTTTAGGATTACCACACTGTAACCCAGTGATGATACATCCTTCTCAGCAACACTAGAATTCAGAACAATGAATTCCATCCATCTGTCTGTCCATCCCATTTCTTTGTAACAGTATTCTCTTATGTGGTCCACTCAGCAATGGTAAACATTAAGTTAAAGGATCTCAGAAGGTAACTTGTACAATGATGTGCAATTATTCTCAGAAACATATAGGTGTTGTGAATAATTTTATTACTTTCCTCCAACATTTTTGCAACCTTTACTCAAAATCTTCTAATTTATGTAAAATTCTGCATTATATGAAATTATCTATGATCTACATCCTGGGCTAGAGACAGTTTTTGATATTCCTTTACTTTCAGTTAGTGAACATTCCAATTTCTGCATGCCAGATATAATCCCTACAACTCATAAAAACAATCTAATGTTTTTTTGACCCACAGATCCCTGGCAAACACATTCACTGTCCAGTTGATCATTTGAGCATTGGGGAACATGTTATTATAGAGGAGAGGAGACAAGATTCAACACTCACCCTAATCAAAATTTCCCACTGTTCTTAGGAATGATAAAACTATAGTTGTGAGCCAGAATGCTCACATGCAATATGTATATGTGTATATCTCTCTCTTCCTCTCCCTCCCTCCAGCCTTCCTAACAGTTGGTAGCATCCATTTTCTCAACTATGTTCTTATGTTTATTTTTCTCCAAGAAAAGAAAACTGGGACCTGGGACTTACAATCACACAGATTTTCTGCAGCTCATGGAAAGTAAGCCACGCAGTATTAGAGGAATTTGTGATACTGGAGCAGTAAGATTTAAAGACTACATGAGGGTATGATCTAGTTTTTTATTTTTGCTGTAACTAATAATTGGAAGAACATTAAAAAATAAACTAGGTTTGTTGAATTATCACTCATTATTATTAGGATAGAAGGATTCATATATTCATATATTCTATTACCCTTAGCACAGCCATTTGATTAAGGTGTAAGTAGTTCGGCACATTAGAATGATGGTTAGTGGGATAAACTGGACTACAGTTTCTTTGTGAGACATAATCATTGAGAAAGAAATAGTTCTGGACATTGCTAATTAAAACATGGAGAGATGGTATGAGATCTAGAATACTTCATTATAACTGGAGGGGGGGGAGGGAGTGGGATCCTAAATGAAGAACAGCAATTTCCAACCAAACAGAACAAAACAACCAAAAATTCATGTTTATAATATATTTTAATTTGCTGAATATGTATCTTTTTCATTGGTTCTTGCTGTGGCACAGGTCTAAAAATAAGATTATTTTAAAGCCAATGTGAAGATTATTTTATTTCCATAATGGAACTTTACATCTATAAAATCTGCATGGTAGAAAACATCTCAGCATCAGATTGCTGCCTATATTTAATATATATTTCTTCATGTTATTTGGTGCAGGTTTTACACAATTAATCTTATTTTTTGAGTTTACGCTGCAGATTGAACCAAAAGCAAGTTGGGTTCACACAACATAGTTGATTAAAATATCTCTAGGTACAAACCATATAAACCCAGCCACATCCAACAATTTAGAAGACAATGCATTGGGAAATTTCACCAGGACTCTCCAGTGCAACAGTGGGAGAAGAAGCAGAACTCAGATGAGTTCTGTAATGTAAGAATATGGATGTTGAATATTGGAAGCTGAAGTTTCTCCCTACAATTGGAAGTTACACTGCATTGTCGTCTAGTACTCCTGATTACAACACAGAACCTAGTGCCTTGTTGGTTTAAATTATAACTACCTATAAGCACCAGCAAGCATGGTTTGTGGTCAGGAAATATGATAATTGTTGGCAAAAATTCTGGAGGGTACCTGGTGATTTATTTTGGGTCTAGTTAGTCAATGTATTGACTAGACTCAGGTATTTTGCCTACTAATATAATAATGACTGTGACAATGATGGCTATAAGAAAGCAAAGGTGTATGAGTAATCCTTTGTTGTTTTTAGGTTGATCCCTCCTCCCCCCCCCCACTATGTTTCCCCCATCAAAAAGACTGCTGATCAAGGGACAGATCACTCTTTCTATAGATCTGAGCTATTTGCCTGGAAAGAGTTTCTTCTCTCATTCAGCCTGCATTATCCTCCCTCAATCTCTTGGCTGATTCAGTAATCTCTCCCTTGGGCTTACTCAAGGGTGTACAGTGACTGTTGGAATAACTATGCCAAGTGGCATCTAAGGTGGGCAGGAGAACAGTAAAGTAGATCAAACCAGCAGTTGCAATGATGAGAATGAAACCCTGGCCCTTTTACACATGTATCAGCATTATGCGTTTTAATGTATAAAAGGTGGGATTTTGATTGCATGGATGCTACCATGAATCTTGGGGGGGGGGTAGAAATTACCACTTCCTTGCCACTCCACCTAGTAGAAATAATTTCAGCTTAGTGTCATAAAGATGTAGGAGAGTAGAGATCATTCAAGTGCCAACCTTATTTGGTAGTTATTTATTCATCTTCTTTATAGTTGGATAATTCATGTTATTCTGGCTTGAAAATATCAAAAGTTTTAGTCTGCTCTCTATGTTGTTGTCTGCAAGTATACTATCCAGCTGTGATTACATGGAGTACTGTACCAGAAATAGGCCAATTACATTTTAATGTATTGTGTTATGCAATTCAGCATAATCCTGCAATGATGCAAACTGGCAATACTCGTGTAAAAATTGCATGATGTAAAACTTGTTTTAAGTACTTGTGTCTTAACATCATCATAAATATATGAGACACATAGTTATGCCCTGATTTATGTTCTTCATTTGTCTTCCTTTCAGTGGTGGGATTTCAAATTTTTTACTACTGGTTCTGTGGCCGTAGCTTGGTTGGCATGGCATGGCATGGCTTGGTGGGTGTGGCAGGGGAAGGATACTATAAAATCCCCATTCCCACCCCACTCCACGGGAAGGTTACAACAAAATCCCCATTTCCTCCCGATCAACTGGAACTTGGAAGGCAGAGAATAGATGGGGTCAGTCAGAGGTGGTATTTATCGGTTCTCCGAACTACTCAAAATTTCCACTACCGGTTCTCCAGAACTGGTCAGAACCTGCCAAATACCACCTATGCTTCCTTTCCTCTTGACATCCAAGCCATTACTCTGATATCTTTGGTTTTCTCCAGTCAGCTTTATGTCTAAAACAAGCTTGCCACCTCCTTGACTAACGGAATCTAATTCATTTGTTCAGATTATGTAACCCTGATAAGAGAGACCTAAGATTGGCATTTGGGTTACAGATTGCCCATTTTCGTCAAAATAATGTGAAATCCATACTCTTTTTGTGAAATCTCTGCTGGCAAATCTCTATGTATTGCATGTATTGAAGAAAAAGAAAGAACAAGTTTGAAGAAAAAGATACACCTTTTATTCCTGATGCTTTTAGAAGCTACTGCCAGGTAGACAACATGCTTCCTCAGCAATGAAATTACATTTCTTCACCAGAAAAATGTTGACAACTGCTGTAACTAACAGGCTGAGGTTGGTAACTGCAACGCAAGAGTGACTCATGGTGGCTTAGTAGGTGAAAATCAATTGTGTATTACCACTATTCTACTTGCTAGAAAATAATTAGCTATCTAATACAACGATAACTGCAGGATTTTCCATGTTGCTCTAATACTTTCATTTTACTAGGATGACAGTTGTCTGACTTTCCGATGGTTTTCCAAGGAAGATTTTAGTATTTATTTATGGTTAGCCTTTCCCTGTCTGACACTACTAGCTGTAATATGATAGTCCATCATACAGTTACGGAAGACTGCACCCCATTAATATATTCCCAAAAATATTTCATCCCCAGGAAAGTCTTGAAGGCAGGGGTAAGGCAAAAAAGCCAAGATGGCAGCCATGGACACACAATCTCAGTGCTGCCCCTTTTCATATTTGCATCAAATATGCAACACATATAAAAAGAGGTAAGATTTTGATTTCAGGGTTATGGCTGCCATCTTGAGTTTTCTTTTACCCTCTATCCCATCTTTCTGCAACTCACTGTCATCAATGTGGCAAATCTTATGCTTGCAATATTAATTTTATTATTCTATACTTGTAAACCCGGTATGTGAAGTGCATACATTAATGACAGGAAATCAATTTTAGCATTTTTCTACTTAAAAGGGCCTGAACTGTTTATTATGCAGGAAAAACTAAAATATAGTCTTCAGACTGATGCTTATCTAAGAACCAATGAATGAACATAATACGTTTCTCCATAGCATGGCTGCTGTGCTTGTTATTGCAACATAACAAACAAAAGCCAAGAAATAAGTACATTTCCTCTTCTGACAAAGTCTTTATATAGCATGTTTAAGGAGACAAAGGTCAGGACAAATATATTTTGTAAGCACCATAGCTCAGTTAGGGTTGGTGAGGAATGCTCTTAATGCCAAATAGCCCTGGGTATATTTTAGGTTAAACTGTGCTTCCCTGGTGACAAAATTATAAAACTGAACCAACTCGGTTGTATAGTTATCAACTCAGTTATATAGTTATCAACCCTCATTCAGACAATCCACTGAGAAAAACTGTTGAAACTATAAAATGGCAGAAAAAACAGCCTTCTTCATGGTTGAACTCATCCCCAAGACCTGGCAGTGCAGAAAACCTCTGCCAAGTAGTAGTTATACTACAATAGTAGTGATTTAACCCAAACTATGTTATCTGCTTGATCAATGGAAAAGGAGCTATTGATGTAATGAAATTTTGCTTATGTTCCCCTTCCATAAGGATTGAAAGAGGTATCAATTCAGTAATTTCTCCCAAATCTGGATCAGCTAAGAAACATTTGTCTGTATTGTGTGGAAGGCCATATAGCGAGAAAGAGCTTTTGTGGGTATCTAATATACCCTTTGATCAGAATTCCAACAATAGCATATAGTCCTTGACTTAAGAATTTCAGGCAACCATTTCCTGAGCATGTGTCTTCCAGCATAAATAGCAATTTTTGTTAGGAAATTTCTTTGAACTTTTAGAAATAATCTTTTGCATATCAGTAATCTTTCAGCCGCAAGTCTTATCCAGGAAGACTTGGAAACAAGTCTGCTCCTGCTTCTGCATCCCTTTCCCCAACTTAAACATAACCATATTCCTCTCTTTCCACTATAACATAGGACTTTGTTTCCCTGAGAAGACTTCAGCATGAAAAGGAGGGAAAATCTACCTAAAGAATGGCTGCTAATGTTATATAGATCTCATTAGGTCATATTAGAATGAGGTGGCTGGATGGAGTCACCAAAGCAGTAGGCATGAGCCTACTCAGAGGATGGTAGGGGACAGGAAGGCCTGGAGGAACATTGTCCATGGGGTCGTGATGGGTCGGACATGACTTTGCAACTAACAACAACAAGGTCATATTAAATTAAATAATGATAGTCAACCTTGGACATATATATATAAAAAGCGCTATCTCTCCCTCCCTCCCTCCCTCCCTCCCTTTCCTCCTCCCTCCCTCCCTCTCTTTTTCTTGATACTCTTAGGAATGTTATCCTGGCCCTGGCACCTATGGA